CGTTAACGCCACAGAAAACTCCGATCAGTGATTTACGTGTGTGACACGTCACATCCGGTTCAGCGGGGGGGCGGCGCTTCGGAGGTCTTATAACGAGCTCCCAAGATGCTCTGCGGCCTTTTTTTTTTTTTCATCAAGGCGAGAGGTCGACGACGAGCGAGGAGTCGGGCAAACTTCCAGGTAATAACAACAAAAATTCACTACCCGTATAGTTTAAAATTATTTTTTTTAATAATTTATTTCATAACAGCATAATTGTTGTAAAATGGTTTATTTGTACTGTAATAAAGTTAATTTTTACTGTAAAAAGCGTTTAAACACGATCATATGCGAGCTAACCGGCTAACAGCAACGCGGTTAAACACCGCAACATGGAAACATAGCTTACCGGCTAACAGCACTAGCTTGACGACGCCGGGACGTAAAAGAACTGTGATCCAATTGTAATACACTAAAAAAACTGCACTGCCCGTATAGTTTACAATCATTAATTTAAATTTCTTGATTTACCATAGTTTATTGCAAAATGTTATTTTTCATTGCAATACTGTAATGTTTAAGTTCATATGGCTTCACTCTAAAGACCACCGAGTCGGCCTGGAAATTTTGAAATGGGGAGTTGCAGAAATCACAATAATAACTCGTTTTCATAAGAGTCACACACCACAATTCGTTCATTTTTATTTTAAAAATTGTTGCAGGGTGAAGCTGAGGGCCATGGCTCGTGGGCAACAGAAGCTTCAGTCCCAGCAGAAAAACGCTAAGAAGGCAGCAGAGAAGAAGAAATCGCAGGGTGCTGACCAGAAAACAGCGGCGAAGGCTGCTCTGGTCCACAGCTGTCCTGTTTGCCGGGTAAGTACCACATGACCCAACTATACTGCACAATAACTACTGTGGAATATTTAGGATGGTTTTTCATGACATCACTTGTTTATTTCAATTGTATATTTGTTTTTCTGTGAAACCAAGTGTCTTTGTGTTACTATAGGATTAATGTCTCGTTATTTGGATGTTCACGGCCTTCCTATTTGTTTTTTATTCAGACTCAGATGCCTGACCCTAAGACATTCAAGCAACACTTTGAAAGCAAACATCCCAAGTCTCCGATGCCTCCTGAGTTGGCTGATGTACAGGCGTAGAATGACAGGAGACAAGAGGTAAGAGCGACTCCTCTTATATAATAATAATGATTTTATATATATGTATATTATACTCAATGTATGTATACATATTATTCTTAATAAAACCACAAACAATTCAGTATAGATGGATCCACAATCAGGAGGTGACCAGGAAGCAAAGTAGATGAAGAAAATCATAACACTTCCTTAAAATTACTTCACACAGTAACATTCGTTGATTTTTTTTATTGGCGTCCATGTTTTTCAAAATATGTTTAAATGTGTGTATGTAAATAATGTATGTAATTTATATATATATATATATATTCATATTCATATTGCCTTGTTTCTTACATTAAAATTAAAAGAGGGCTCATTTAAAATGTGTATTAAAATATATAACTGTTATTCCAGTCCATGATAAAATTTAAATGCCCTAAAATATGTAAGCTGGTGTATGATTTGAATCTTTTTTTATTGACATTTGGCAGCATATGTAACATACACATATGTGCTCTTTTTTACTCCTTACAATAAATTGAACAACACTTATGCTAACTTTTACTTGTCTTTCAGTTAATTCTCGTCTTTCTTTTCGGCAGAATTCCCTTTTTGCCACTGGACCACAGGGAACCAATGTTGTACACTTTGATGGTCAGTTTTTGTCTTCAGCATCACTTGTTTTACTCTTATCTTTCTCCTCAGGCCTATTTGTCTGTTTTTAATTTTTGCATCACACTTAGTTAGCAAAACGTGTTCACTGTATATTTGTGTAATATTTCCTTTAGACAGATTCACTTGACCCGGAGCTTCACAAAGACCTGGTGACCAGACTGGATCCAGAGAAGAGACTCATCAGATTGACTGCAGTAGATCTGCAGCTCACCTTTACAGCAGATTCTTCTCCATCATCATCTTCATCATCTTCATGGTCCTGGCTGTCGTTGGTTTCTTGGTGTACAGAAGAGTGAAGAAAGGTGAGAAAGGTTCAAACCTTCTCCACCTTGTGAGTAAAACTTGTCTCTGTCACTGAAGGGTTCACTCTGAATTCTATATTATATGTACACACCAGTTAAAATGACCAACATATGTTACATATACAGTTTTGTATTTCCTGCTGTGGCTACACAAAATTAATAAATTGTCAGATTTTGACCAAACCTCTGAACTTTTTGTGTCACTTTTTTATGAGTAAACTTTAATGACTGACTGTTAATAACAAAAAATTGTAAATTGTTTCTTTAAAAAAAAAACAGAATTATCCCTTTTTTTTAGAACCTCAGAATTTGACCAAATAACATATGATGGCCATAAAATGTATTCTTCTTTTTCTTTGGGCTTTTTTCCTGGGGTTGCCACAGTGAATCATTGATTTCCATCTCTACCTGTTCTCTGTATCTCCTACTCTGACTCCAACTATCTGCATGTCCTCCCTCACTGCATCCATGTCTCCTCTTTGACCTTCCTCTCTTTCTCCTACCTGGTAGCTCCATCTCTAACATTCTTCTACCAATGTATCCACTGTCCCTCCTCTGGACATGTC